ACCTCGTAGTGCTTTCGGTATAAGGTGCACCGCAGCACAACGCTATCGTAGACCACGCGAGATGGGACCACCTCCCCCTCGAACACCACAATCACAGCACCAGATGAACCGATGCGCTCCGCCGCGATAAGGGACGGATTCCTGGGACCAAGCAGCGCCTCTTCGATCTGCTTCCTCGTGTGCGTCAAGGGTATCCCGCGGATTACCCCCTTTGCACATCCTTCGGGGACTGTCGCGTAAGCCCGTGCCTCGTACAGGGTATCACCCATCTTCAGGGCCGTGATTCCGATGTACTTCCTTGCGCGCTCCTTACACGAGCAGCTTATTACAATCACGTTCTGGGTGCCGTTGATAAACACCAGGTCTTCACTTGCCGCTGGGAGCTCTACACCGGCCGCGTTCTTGACAGCCGCTGCCAGAGCTACGTCTGAGACCCTTCTTAAATCCAAGCCCCCGCGGGGCCTAACGATGATCTTGGTGTCCCCTCGTACTCCAAAACGGGGCATGCGACTCGCTCGAATCACACGGTCGACAACTTTGCCGAAACTTCTTGCTTCCGCCGGTCGTGCCGTCTTCGTTCCGCGTCTTCCTACCCGGATCCGTCCGTCCTGTCCGTCCGCCACCGTCTCGTCATCCATGCCGACCACCTCGCCGGCGCCGTTAGGCTTAGCCGCCGACGCCATTGACGCCGGCGACCGAGCTTCTTCCAAGGACGTCGTTAGGCTTAGCGCCTCTCGTGGGTTCAATACAGATAAAGTCCAGAAAAATCGCAAAAACTCGACTCACCGGGACAAACTTCACTTCCCCGTGATCCACAGAACTTCACAAAGACGCTGAGGTCAGAAAACTTACATAAATTATCACGGCGCCGCACTAATTTGCGAAAATTGACGGAGCCGACATGAAGCACGTCCTTTCCGTTCAGCTGCCCTCCTATCTCTCTCTTACAGCGCTATACTTGTTTTAGTTTACAGCTTTCAAACGCGCGCGCCAAAAATGGACACAAAACTTCACCACCATGTCATCACATGTACGTGGCAAGGGCAGCATTCCCATTAGTTATCAATCCTCTCCTTACTTCTCTTCAGCGCACCTCAGCCGCCTTAGTGCTCCTTATTTCCTCTTTTCTTTGTCCCGCGTGATTTCGCTACGCGGTGGAGAGTTAAGTCTAAATGATATACAATCCTAAATACAGGGTGTCATAAAAGAAAATTTACACGGTCTCTTTTACCACAAAAATAAACTAGGCATCGCCGAACGTTCATTCTCCGTCCAAAGGTAGCGCTAGAGGTCACAACTAGATGCCAAAGTTTCAGCCCGATCCGATGACTTAATCAAAAGTTACAAGTGATTTTCTGAAAAGTTTAATGGGGAAATGGCGGCCGACGGAGTTTTTAAACGCATAGGACTCTGTGACTTCAGAAACAAAAAAACAGGCAAAAATGGGCTCTATTTTCCCATTGAAATTTTTAGAAAATCACTTATAACTTTTGATTAAGTTATCGGATCGGGCTGAAACTTTGGCTTCTGGTTGTGACCTCTAGCGCTACCTTTGGGCGGAGAATGAGCGTTCGGCGTTGCTTAGTTTGTTTTTGCGGTAAAAAAGACCGTGTGCATTTTCTTTTGTGACACCCTTTATATAGAAATACACATCGTGTAATTTCATATCTCTAATTGAAGGGTAATCAGAAAAATTTATAAATACCGGCCAATCTCCATTATCTTGACTAAGAACAGATAAAAATAGGAATTGCATTTTCAACCGGGCGTTGATTGCTACCGCAGACACTTTACGGTTCGGACGAGAATTAACATACCGCCAGAACTTCGTATGGGAACTTAATTAAGAAAAGCTTTTTAAGCGTGATGTTGTAAAAAAAAATTGCATTTAAATCTTTAACAAACCTCTTTAGGTCACGACTTATTCTTCAAAGTTGGACTCTTTTATTGACATTTGGTGTTAGCGTAAGGGCCTTTCCTAGACCGCTTTATTTTTCTCTTCACGGGAATGATTGCTCAAGTGATTTCAGAATTTTTTCTTATAGTTTTTGTATGCGTACGTACAAAACAATTAATACAGTACGTTATCACTTCACAAATAACCTCAAAAAACCTGAGTGTTGGCAGATAACTTTTAGAGGAACTGGACATCGTCGAATGATTCTTTAAGATATTATAAAACACTAACGTCATCAGCGGCTTTAAAGTTCAGGAATGTTTTATGAGGAAAGGTGGGGGGGGGGGGGGGGGAGGCTAGATAATGATTTCATGGTTCGATATCCGCTCTAAATGTTTTCTTTTTGGAAAGAAGAAAACGTAGAGTCCGAAAAACAAATATTAAGTCAGGTAGAGACGATTCTGTGGAAGCTGGTCTTGTATGACCCTTGACGACGTGCGTTAAATTATAACAGAATGCAAGCTCCAACTGTTGGTTGCAGCTAGCAAAGTCATCAATTCCACTTGAAAGCGGATGGCAATTTATATACGGTAAATTGAAATCGCCCACCAACAATATATTATTATTATTAAGATATAATGGATTGTCCACTTATACTCGGAGTTTGACTTGGACCTCGAATGAAGTATTTGGTGGCCTCTATTTTCTGCCCAAGACAACGGTTCTATCATTGAACTTTAGCTCTGTTCATAATGCTTAAACGGCTTCAACCTCTTCAAGCACCGTAAATTCCATTAATAAGTGCAGCCTCTCTACTACGTGATTTCCTGCATGTCCTATGTTGTAATTTACAGGCGTAATTTTATTGTCTAAAGTATGGTGGTAAAGACACGTATTTGTGATTGCCATAATGTCAGTCATGATGATGCCATCGATCCTGGTTATTGAATGATGTACATTTATACTTTTAAATACTACATTCGTTGCACCAGAGAACAGTGATTAATTTGACTTTATCAAACACTACTTTTACATTTGCACCGTTCCTTCGTTTTTCTGTTTTAGAATTCGACAAGTTTTTTTCCCGGGTGTCAACATCCCTTTTGGAGTAGTCTTCGTTGGTACTGATATAAGATCCCTTCAGCTCAGAACGACTAAATATTTTCATGCTTTACTTCTTTCTTGTCTCCTTTACTCTTCCTTAGATTCGATGTATTAAAAAGCCAGTTCTGAGTATATCGCATCACTATATAAGATTCTTTAAAGGTTCGTCGAACGGAAAATACCTGCTTCACGTTTAAGCAACATACGAACATCCGTATTTTGAGTGAAGCTACAGCCGCGCAGAGATAATATAACTTTACGCGACCTGTTATTTGGCATTTTTCTATGCCGCCCATACGCGGACGCCCGACAGAGAAAACAGAGCCACGTCGAACTATTTGGCATTTGCGTGAATATACTCACCGATTATAATTTTTTCGAAGTTAACTTCAAGAAAATAGGCATGTTAATTAGAGTTAAACGCAAAACTTCCGCTATTTGAAAACGTGTGATGGACAGCTTAATAAGTAGAGCTATAATGAGGCACTTATTCGCGCCAGAATCGAACAATCTCCTGCTGCTGCTCAACTACGTATCCTCTCGAATCAGCAAGGGGATGTGGATTGAACCGCATGAGTATAATGTAACCTTAAATTGATAAAGGTGTCGTGGTGTTGTGTATACTTCGCTCCGATTTTGCCTGATCCCCCCCCCCCCCCCCCCCCCCCCCGCTTCCGGTTTTCAGGAGGTGTATAGAAAAAAAGGCTGACATCTCGCAATCAGCTCATTAGTTCCCAATACTTGCGTCGCCCAAACTAGATAGCTTGCTCTGTTTAGAAGTTAACTATTTTTGAAAGCGCACTGGATGCGTTAATTACGCACCTAAAGGCTGGTTCAGTCATTTGTGTTTGAGTGTCACAAACTTCGTCAGACCGGTGATCATTCCGTACGACGAGGTAGTTGCTATGTCAAACAAGGTTTGCGAAACGCTTCGCAGTTGAACTTAAAAGGTCGTAATGCACTCGTTCATATTAAAACGCCAAAAAAATCTAAACAAAACTTCAGAAACACCGAGAAAACAAAAAGGAAGGCGGAACGTGTGGAATCACGGGAATGGATTAGACGTAATCAAGGGCGGCACATCAGTAATTATCTAAGACCTCCGAGATAGCAAGACTACAGTGCTGTCTTTTCAAATGTTGAATTCGAGTGGTCGCCCCTCTCCTCTGGGCTTGATCCCATCGAGCGCTTCCTCCTCGCCGCTATAATTGGCGACAGGTTGAAAGTAGAGCCTGCTTTGACATCTCGTTTCATTGTCGGTGTCGGCGTGGTGGTCGAAGTGTCTTCATGTTGTCGTCGAGGTCGTAGCCATGGGCTAGGTTTAGTTTATAGTCCGGGTCGTTTTCGAGGTCATAGTCGAGGGCGTCTTTGATGTCAGAATCGACCTCGAATGTTTTTCGGCGACGACGTCTTCACGGTCGTTGTCTTGGGAGCTATCGTGTTCACAGGTGGTACCCATCGTGGGAACAGACTGCGTAACCCCGCACCTTGACCAACACGTTACTAATAAGAACATAAACTTGATTAGTAAAACTTAAAATGATCGCTGTTTTTGAAGAAATTGTGCCAAGAAATAAAGTATCGAAGGCCGTACCTTCATTCACGGCAACGGAAGGATGACTGACTCATGCAGTAATGCAAAGCTTCTTTTGTAAACGCGTGGGTACCTAGACGATTCAGATCTCGAACAAACAACAATTGGTTCAGGAGTCATCTGGAACATTCTAGTCATGCAAACAAAAGAGAGATAAAAAGGACAAGCGTTGACGGGGATTAAACCCCAGACAGCGGTGTGGGAGTTGAGCACGCTGCTGACTCAGCTACTCACACAGGGCAATATTGTAATGCCGGCGATTTCACATGAGTCCCAGTCAAACGCAGCATTCATGTTGAATCTGTGTCTTGCGTTGGCAACCTTCAGATGACACAGAAAATTCGGTATTAAGGCTTTGTTGTCAAAGGGGTGTTGGCTCAACAAGCTTGTCTCCCCACACTGCAGATCTGGATGACAATCGCCAGTGTCCTGCTCTGCCTCAGCACGCTCCTGGCCCTCTACTCAAGTCTCACGGGGCTTCGGACGTTTCTGGACCACTTTTACGATTATCTATTCGAGATGCTGGGGAACCTTCTTCTGGAAGGTAACGAAAAAGCCGGCACGCGTTTATAAAAAAAAGAAAGAATGCAATATCAAGATCCATCGCTGGAAATACTAAATGCTGCGACCGATAATGCGTTTAACGTAGAGGCATATGCATAAATCTGCATGTGTTTGTGTTGTTCTGTCTCGACTTGCGAATGAGTATACATCTGGTGTATATACAGTGATGCATCGTCAATACGCAGCCTGTTAATATGAATACCCTGCAGTATACACTTCATGTTTACGGAATAACTGGTGAATATTTACATTTTTGTCTGTGTTTTAGTGAATGATTTAGACCGTGGGAGTTTCGGGGGAATGAAGGTATCTACAACAATATTGAGATATCCTTGTACATGTTTGAAGAAAAATAACGTGTTTCGCACGTCAGCGCAATGTATGTACAGTCTTTCACATTACAAAGACTGTTTCATAAAACGGCTACTCACCATTTCCTGCAAGAATTGGTGTTGAGCAATCGGTTTTGTGGATTTAATGCCAATGCCTCCATCTCTGTTAATTATCTTTTACTGATCGCTGATTCTAGGAATATTCACGTTGCATCTATCTAACCATGCCAAACTTTTCCAAGTTCCCAAGAACGCACTGTGCTCGTATGTAATATGCGAACTTGATATAAAACAACTAAATAATTGGGACAAGTTTTGCTCTATCACTCCTGAAATATTTCAAGCACGTACGCTTCCAATTTCAACTTCAAGCAAAGGTGCCAAGGCGACCAATTTAAACCTTTACGCAAAATATAGCTTTATTCTTGATCGCTGTTCAGTTAAGTAATTTAGACAAAGCTGCACCTCTATGAATAAATTTCGAACGAATATTACTTTGTTTGCAATATTCAGAGCAACGTCGATCTTAGCGAAATTTCGATTAAGAAGCCTGCGTTTTGTGGCTTCTTTAAAACCCATCTTCGGTGCAGTTGCAGAGAAACTCGAAAGCCCGTGACATACGCAGAGACCACAAAGTCTTGTCCGATACCATTAATGCCACAAAGGAAAGTGGCCTTTGTTGCTTTCAGGTATTATTCATAAACAAGACGTTGATTATTCAGAAAAGATAGCGCTAGGCGGTTACATAGTTGATTAATGATAACTGATTGCTGATCGAAATTTAAGGTCTTACACTCTTGCAACGTCATTATATATGATGCGCTAAATTGGATTCTAACAGATTAATAAAATTGCGACTGGTTAAAGATTGCAGTTTTTCTCATATTTTTATCATTTTTGGCAATCAGTAGTTAAGCGAAAAACTTTCACGGTTAGTAGCTTCCTTGATTTTACTGTGAAAACCGATATTTTCCGAATTTTAGGCCCCAAAAATACTTATTGAAAATCGGGTTAAACACGATTTCTTTCCGAATTGGGAAACTGAGTTCTACCCTTTCTAATTCCTCTGCTCCGGAAATACATTCTAGGAAAGAAAGAGTATTTAGGAACGTATTTTCCCTAGCTCCAGACTTCTGAAACGAACCTAGGCCTTCTTGGCTTCAGCAAACTTCAGTGACATATGTAGACTGAGCAACACATGTCGCTGTTATGCCCGCTGTGAAGTACTGTTCTCGATTGCAAATGTACGTAAGCTGTGATGTTAAGACCGAAAGGTCCAGAATATTATACAGATATGATGTGCATGCAAATACACATAAAAAAGGATTTATGAAAATTTTAAAAGTTCAAGTGAACACTTCTACCATCTTGGAAAATATAACTTTATTATAACGAATTTATAACTTTATGTCGAATAAAAAAACGATCTATGTAATTAACCCGTTCGATTGGTGTTAATTGCATCTGTAAACTTGTAATTATGACGTAAAACAATAAAACTCCTGTATAGTTTTTTAAAAGCCCCATTTTTTTTCCTTATTACCGGCTCGAGGGTGCCGTGCCGGTCAACGATGAATTTTCTGGAAAACTTGGGGACCTCAGCAGCAGTGCCTTTGTCTCGGCGCACCGGGTTAGACGTTCCGTGGCGATGATCATCCAGCGGTTTCCCGACGCCGACGCTGGGAAAAGTCCAAGTAGATTCACTCTGATGTGCTGAAACGGAGCAGTATAGGCGACGGATTCGGGTGCCGGAGCCCAAATGGCTTCGTTAGAGTTTACGTGCGGCGTTGGCACTCGTGGCACGATCTTGTGTACCGGTGAACTGCCTCCAGAAGCTTAGGCCAGTAATACTCTTCCCGAATTCTGGTCAGAGTCCTGCTGTAACCGAGATATCTGGATGTCGGGTCGTCATGGCAGGGTTGGAAGATCTCTCGCAAATCGGAAGGATTCACCAATAGCAGGGATGGGCAAAATACATGCAAATATCTATCGAAATACAAATACAAAATTCTTCATCAAAAATGTATTTAACTACAAATCTAATTACATTTCCAAAAAAGCATTGAAATACAAGATACAAATACAACCAAATATATTTGGTCTCCTCCAAATACTTTTCCAAATAAATTCCTCAAAATCTGCGTCAGCGACTTCAGGGCACCTGCAGCGGGTTTCTGGGTATTTCATTTTAATTTTGCATCGCACACTCGGGAGTTAGTGTGCGAGGCTCTAGTAACGTAACAGAAATATAATAAAAAATGTAATCAGCTTGGACGTAATAGATGAAAAAAGTACAAAGCTTCAAGCAGCTTTTTTTTTTTTTGTCGATTATACATTTTGGTATAGACCACCAAAGAACCGAGACGACCAAGACGCGCAGCACTAGCTAGAGATTTTTTTATTGTTGCAACTCGCACCAGTTACGAACATCTGGACGGGCCGCGCATTTAGAATGTTCCAGGCAACAATATGGATGGAAATCAGACTGGAAAGCATCACAAGTTGTCACAGGCACTTATTTAGCCAGTCTGCCTGTGAACGTTGATTTCGTCACAACTCTTGCCCTGGACTAGCACCGTAATCAGAAGGTCACTAAACGCTTGTGCTTGATTGAAAAACACTGCATCCGGTGCAGAACGTAGTTTTCTACCTGCTCTAGACAGAAACAATAAATTTGAGGGATGTATTTTCGCCCACAAAATTGTATTTAATTACAATTGTATTTGAAATACCCCCGTTTTAGTATTTAAATACACACGTCAAATACAGTACCCAATTTGTAATTAAATACAAATGCAAAATACACAAAGTATTTGAAATACGTATTTCAAATACGTGTATTTGAAATACTGCCCATCCCTGACCAATAGCCTCGTTCAAGTTTTTGTCTCCAAAGTACTTTATGTAGCAGACGACTTGTCGAATGATGAAGGTTAACAGTGCTCTTAAGAAGGTACTGTGAACTGTACTTTCTAGTTTATTTAAGTGCTCAATCAGAGCGCGAAGTACAGGACCGTCTCGCAGGAGTTTCGCCATGTCACTGACGTGCACTGCTTCTAGGAAACTCTCATCGTAGTCGCCAATGGCGCCAGTAAGAGTTGACACAACGTGGGCTCTGGACAGGCAGTCAGCTTCGCTGTGTTTGCTGCTTGACTAATAGTTTATGGTCATGTCGATTTCTCGCAGCCGTAGAGTCCATCGAGCGAGGTTTAGTGACAGATGTTTAGCGTTAGCGAGCCAACACAACGTGTGGTGGTTTGTGACCACTCGAAGCGGGTTCACGTACAAGTACGGGCGGAATTTTTTTATTGCTCAAGTAACAACAAGGCATTTTTTTCAGTCTTCGTGTATTTTTTCTCTGCATTCAACAGCGTGTGAAAGAGCCTAGGCGATCACTGGGTCGCTTTCTTCTTGCCGCTGGACGAGTACCGCGCCGTGTCCTGTACTGCTGGCGTCCGTGCGAACTTCTGCTTCCGCTGACTGACCGAAGTGGCCAAGGATCGGGGGCCACTGGAGTCGTAGCATCAGCTCGTCTATTCCCTGTTTTTGTTCGTCACTCATTAGAAGTTCATTGCGTCATTCGTAAGTGAAATCAGCGGCGAAATGTTTTTGCGAAATCCGGAACGAAGCACTTGTAGAGTCCGGAAAATCTCCTTACTGACGTTTTGTTTGATGGTGGTGGGACGGCGCGAGTCTTCTCGGGATCTGGACGAACACTTTCGTTGCTCACGACATGACCTAGGAACATCAGTTTGCCATGGGCAAACCGACACTTGGACGGCTGAGGGCTGGGCCGGCGGTCCTAATTGCCTGGAGCACGGTTCGAAGACGTTTCAAGCGTTCGTCGATGTCGCACGAGAATACCACTACATCATCGAGGTACACGAGACAGCTCTGCCACTTTAGGACTTCCAGCATGGTATCTATGACACACTGGAATGTTGCCGGGCCGGTGTCTCCGCTAGCTAATGCGAAGGCAGTGTCGTTAGGCAGTTGCTTATAGCGTTTGGCTCGCGCTCGCAGGGCCTGCTCAATGCTTGTGGCCTCCGTCACGGAAACCTCGACGGTCCCACGCAGGTTTCGCAGGAGACCCCCCATGATGTTTTGTTTTATTCATCGCATGAAAATTTTGAGGTTCTTTGATTCCTGAGCTTGGGGATTCACGCGGTTGAATAGTCGGAGGACGTCTTTGACAAAGTTGACGACGCATTCATTCGGTGCTTGAATTATCGCCTGGAGTAGTTCTCTTGTGTATTCCCGGGGCCGCTGGCTCGTAGTGGCGTGGTGTAGCTGCTCTTTGTACTTTTCCCAGGAGGTGGATGACGCTTCATGGTTTTTGAACCAGAGACGGGTCGTTTCATTTAGTGAGAAGTAAAGCAAATGTTCCTGACGCTCAGCTCTCGTGTCCATCGGTAATGCCGCGCCACTCGTTCGTACCTTTGTATACAGTCATCGACATCCTAGTAAATTTCACCGCTGAAGGGCGTCGGCGTACAAGGTGCAATGGGCAAGAACATGACGGGGTGTACAGCAGCAGAGGTCTCGGCCGGCTGGTCCTTAAAAAAAATTTCCGGTTTGTCGACTTTTTTCTTGGTTGTTTCACCAATAGACCAAATTACGGCGGCTAACCCTGAGTACGGCGGCTTACTCGGCCTTCGACTGGCTCTACAAATGAAGTCATAACTTCGACGTTACCATCGACGGCCACGACGCGACGGCACTCATCTACCTTGGAGCAGGCTATTCTGTTTTGGGCGGGAAGCACTCTCACTGTATTCGGAAAGTGATGAGGCCATGGGATGGCCAGCAAGTACGAACCGCCAGCGGTCATCTCATCACATCATTGTGAAACTGCACCGCTCGCGTCGTAATCCAGGGTGAGACATGTTTGATGAACTTCGTCCTTCTTTAGGACTGCTCACAGGACCTCGTACTGGACATGGACTTGAATACGGTGCCGTCATCGCATTTGGAGTGAACAAATTGACTCTGCGTAAGGCAATACCTACGTCGGAAGATCGTGATGCGGCGTCAGCCGTGATACGAGTTCTTGCCGACCTCCCGAATTTGTTGTGGCTGCATGTCGAGTGTCTTCGTGCCAGTCTGGATCGTAATAGTTATGTTCCGTGAAGCTCTGTTAAAAGTACACGTTCAACTGCTCCTGGAAAGAGGAAGTGGTATTACCAGGGACGTAACGTAGCTCAAGGATAGGTGCACCATGGCTCTTGTGACGAACTTCTGAAAACAGTCAGAGCACTTGACAAGCGGTACAGCCGTGGGCCACATCAAGGAACTTCCAGACTCAGACGCGATCGCCTCCACCTGAAAATACTCCTCTTCAATGGTCCACAACAGGACGCTGTCTTCGGAGTTTGACATCGTTCTGACCCTCCCGACCTAAGAACGACGACAGCTGAACGAGCATCTCTCCGAGGACAGCGAATGTTTCGCCACGTCATTAAGGGTACGCCAAACGACGGCTGCCAAGCATCGCATGGTTGCGAATGAAGATGCCCTCCCTGTACATCAGTCACTGTACGGTGTCTCCGTCAAATAACTGGAGGTCATCCGTGAACATGTTCAAGAGATGTTGGATGACGACATCATCCAGCCTTCAAACAGTCTCTGGTCCTCCTCCGCCGTGCTTGTAAAGAAGACGGAACGCTGAGATTCTGCGTGGACTATAGAAGGCTGAATTGTGTGATGAAGAAAAACGTCTATCCGCTTCCACGCACCGACGATACTCTAGATTGATTATCTAAAGTGTGGAAACTGGCAGATTGAAGTCGACGAGCGGGACCGCGAAAAGGTGACCTTCGTAACGCCTGACAGACTGTAAGAGTTTAATGTGATGCCTTTTGGACTTTGTATTGCACCAGCCACTTTTCAGCGTGTCACGGACACTGTGCTGGCGGGTCTGAAAAGCAGAACTGTCTCGTCTACCTTGACGATGTCGTGATATTTTCAAGCGACTTTGAAATGCACCTGTGACGACTCCGTACCGTGTTCCAAGCCATCAAGACTGTGGGACTGACCTCCAAGCCTTCGGAATATCGGCTTGCTTACAGTGAACTGAAGTTCCTAGGTCACGAAGTAAGCAACATATGTGCTCGTCTTGACCCCAAGAAAACATGCACAGTGGCCAAAGTTTTACATCCACGGGATAGAAGGTCGCGAAAAGATTCCTCGGCTTGCGCGCCTACTACAGGCGTTTCATACGAGATTTTGCGAAGACCTCTGCTCCCGTCCCCGACCACGCGAAAGACACCGTAAAGTTCCACTGGGCAGAAGATCAACAGCACACATTCGATGAGCCGAAACAGATACTCAAGACAATTCCGATCCTCGGCTATTTTGACCAGCATGCCGAGACTAAAGTCCACACGGACGCTTGTACTGGTACAGATTCAGGAAGGCACAGAACGAGTGATCGCCTATGCAAGTCGAACGCTCTCCAAGGCAGAAAGCAATTACTCCACAACGAAGAAGGAATGTCTTGCGGTAGCCTGGGCGATAGCCAAGTTTCGTCCCTACTTGTACGGATGTACGCTCAGAGTGCTCACAGAACACTACTCGCTCTGCTTGCTTGTGGAACAGGAAGATCCGTCAGGACGCCTTGTCCGATGGAGCTTTTGACTGCAAGAATTGTATATATCTGTGGTTCACAAGACCGGCATCAAGCACAGAAACACGAACTCTCTGCCTGTCGAAGGATGCCGCCGAGTCAACTCCGGAACGGCTCCGGCGACAACGACGAGGAGAGATTTCTCGGCGCAGTCAACGTCGACGATATGTCGGCACTCCAATGAGACCACCCTTAGCAGTACTACTGGCCCAAGCTCCCAAAGAATGTCCTCCAGTACACAAGGTCGTGGCGCTAATACCAACAACGAAAAAAAAAACAAAAAAACTAAGCCTGCAGGGTTGTTGCAACCGATAGCACCGCCGACTGGTCCGTTCCAACAGACGGAAATAGATGTGCTCTGGCCATTCCCCAAGTCGACGCAGGGACATCGGGGGACAGTCGTCGCGACGGAATACCTCACTCCATACGCCGAGACGAAAGCCCTTCCATTCGGTTTCGATCATTTTGATCAACCCGTAAATCACAAGAGTGTCATGTAAAAGCTCCCCGCAACCAAGGAAAACAAATCGTAACGCACGCACAATACATGCATGGCACACTCTGTGTTCCCCGGGTTTATAAGTATGATCGAAGCAAGTTTAATATTTTTTTTTATAATGTGAACGCAGTTTAATTGTGACCTGGAGCACGACGACCTTGTCCGCGCTCACGCTTCCGTGTGATATGGGAGATGCACGATGCGCATGCGCGGTGAACCGCCGTCGTGCACGTCGCATCGCCTGCACGAGCGAAGGAAAGTGGGCGTAACGAGCGAACAAGCGAGCGAACGAACGAACGAAAGAGCAGGGCGGGAACCACGCCACAGCCTGACGACACCAGTCCAGTTCAAATCGCGACCGTCCTAACGAAAGATGGTTGGGAGCACCAGGACAATAAATGTTAAAACATGTAAAATACGGTGAGTTGGTAAAAAATAAATGAGTGACCTGAACCTTGTTTCAGCTTCTCCGAATCCTGCCTCTGACCCCCACGTCCGCATCGTCGTGTCCTTCTGGTGGCTGATGCTGCTCGTGCTCATGAACACCTTCACGGGGCACATGAAGGCCAGCATGACGGTGGACGAGGAGCTGCCCAGGCTGGACACGCTGCAGAGCGTCTTGGACCGCAAGGACATCGTTCCGGTCATCATGGGGGGCACCACTTTCCAGGAGATATTTCAGGCGAGTCCCGAAGACACCGACAAGAATAGAACGGTTGAGATTTCGTTTGTTTGTGCCGCCTAAAGCATCTGCTTCCTGCCTTCGATAGCGCTTCGGTGACTTGTGGGCCTCGAGCGCGCACGCCCAGCCAAAGCACGGCGGAAGGCAACTAGCGTGTGCTGGAGGCTGGGTATCCAAAAGGGATGCTCTGCCGTTCTTACCTTGTAATGATTATAGTAGATTGATTGTGCACTGTATTCTTAAGTTTATAGGTATGCCTTTGTTTTTTTGCCGTATTCACATTATGACGAAGTCACACTGCTTATGGTTGTTTAAAAAAGCTTTTGATCACGAATCCGTTTCAATGTAACTCATTGTGTCGATGTGGTGAGGTGTGAGTTTTTTATTCTTCCTAAAATTAAGATGAATCGCAACGAATAGAGATTGCACTCAGTCGAAAAGATTCAGGAATAGACGAGAATTGTCCCGAACAACCTGAAGAGTAACTTCCAGACGTTGTTCCAACAATGCCAGACTCGCTGGGATTGTTGTATTAGCCCTGAGTGGGAGAACTTTGATGAAGAGGGCAGGCAATAAAACCTGAACTCTGCTTTTATAAAGAGAGTTAGTAAACGTTTAGATAGAGTCTCGTACACTACACGAAAGAATGTTCTCAGTTTGAATACACGTGCATGACAGAATGGTCGGCGAGTTCACCTCAGACATATATAAAACCAGAGACTATGTCCCATGATATGTGTCTGCGAAGGTATATCTATACAAGCGGTAACTGTGCCGTCATAGTAAACATCGTTTGTATGCCGTACAGTCTCCTCTACACTTATGGTGATATTTAGATTGTTCATTAAAATTGTGGCGTCTCTGACGCTTCTATTAAAGAGGTAGAGGCTAGTTGTCAGTTAATTTCGCCGCTTCTACGTGTTCTGAGCTCATGTGTGGCATGTTTTAGGAGTGAAACAAGTGCGCTGAACGGCGGGGCACCGGAGTCCCTAAAGAACAGAGGGAAGTAATATATCGACTTATTTATATTCAAGCCCATAGAATCCCGAACCACGAGAAACATTTCTAAACAATGATTCGTGGCCACGGCGTCGGCTATAGGGAGTATTCAGTGGCGTCCGTATCCGTGTGCGCTGCTGCTGAGCGCGTGCTGACGGAGAGCTTCCTGAGTCCTTTTGGAGCGTGTATTTAGCACCATCAAGGTTGCCGGTCTTAGCAGGCTATTAATGTGAGCTCGTTCTGAGCATGCGCTCTAAACATCGGCCTAAAATATGGCGTCCAGAGAATACCTCCTAGACACTGTCGCAATGTTTAAAAATTCAGAACCCAGCGTGTGATATCAACAGCCCAGGACGCGCATGTCCGCAATTTGGAAAGCGGGGAAAACACGCGCCATATAACGCTGAAAATGCCTCCGCCCAAAAGCCGGCTTGTAGAATGGTTTATAACGTGAAGATAAATGTGAACGACAGCAGTATATCGTTGCGTACATTGGTCTTAAGATCAGGACGCGCCCTTTAAGAATACCGTCTTTTAACACTCCGGGAAGTGATTCTTATGTACATAGGATCGTGCATCAATGTACATTTGTTGTCAAATTTGTGATTGAAGCACATCACTTCCGAGAAATAGAGTTGTTGCTACCATCATGTCGGTGCCACAAACCTGCTCACGTTTACTCTACCTTGTGCGTTAATTTTACATAAGCAGAAAGACAGTGAGAGAATAAATAAATAAAAGAAGGGTTTGGCAGCCTTAGAAACGGTGCCGGCATCTTAATAACTTGAGAGTGAAAGGGAGAATGTTATGATGTTATAACGAAAATAAAAGGATGAGGAAAAAAGAAAAAAAAAAGATTATCACAAATGTGAAAGGTTCCCAGTAGCATAATCATAAAGCGGGTGACTACATAGCATCACAAAGCCCTTGCTAAAAGACACCCGACAAAACAGGTAAAGTACAAAAGTTATCCTTCAGCTAGCGCTGTATACACCAACTCATGTTTACAAACAAACCGGAGCGCCCCTAGCGGACGCCACCGGCGCCGCGCATGCGCGGTGGATGGTGGGCAAGAAGCCCGCCGTCGCCCATAAACAAACCATTGAATTGCGTTGTTGTCGGCGTCGGTGGGAGTCCCCGTGCTCTTTTTCGCGTTGGAATTGTTGATGCTATGTCCTCCTAACAATGTCTGACTACTTGAGCGGCTTCAGCAAAACTAACGAGGCAAAACTTTGCGCGAATAATGTGACGTGCGCCGATTCATTTCACGTGGACGCCGCAGAATGGGCGCTAAAGCTTGACTCCCACGATGAGATTCTGCTCGCTGTTTTCAGACGCGACGTTGCTCGGACTGCAAAAGCGTGGACCGTAGCCGAGATGGTGGACGTCGATGGTGAAAACCGCAAGCAGAATCGGGCATTACAAGTCGGTGATGGCCACTGGTAACAATAATGATAAACATGTTCTTGTATCTGTTTACACTTAGCCTACTTACCCCAACCAACCTTCAAAAGTGTTTTGAGGCCTGCACTTAGTTCTTATCGCAATTACCGGGTCAACGTTTGGTTTCCGGGCCGCTGTCGTTTGAACGAGCTGACGACAAAAAGCGGCCAAGTTTGAAAGAGCAGACGACAGTTCGAACGCATGCGTAATGGGGTACGAGCAAGAAGCACCGCCGTCCCGCGTCAACAAACCACTCGAATGTCACGCTCTCGGCGTCTGTGTGAGTCTGCCTACTCTTTTTCGCGTTGGAATTGTCGATTCTACGTCCACATCGCAATGTCTTACCACTTTAATCGCTTCAGCGAAATTATCAAGGCTCGTTACGCCGCTAAACTTTCCGTAAATAATTTGACGTGCGGCGATTCATTCGCATGAACGCCGCAGAATGAACGCCAAAAGCATGATGAGATTCTTCCAGCTATTTTCGGTAGCGACGTCGCTCGTGTTGCAAAAGTGTAGAAGGTAGCGGAGATGATCGACGTCAATACTGAAAATCGGAAGCTGGAACAGACCAAGCTTAACTAGTCGGTGATGACCACCGGTACCAATGATCAACATCTTGTATCTACTTTTTACACCGAGCCTACTTAAGTCTTTTGAGGTCTGCAATTACTTCTTATTGCAATCACCGGGTCAAAGTTTGGTCTACGGGCCGCTTTTGTTTGAACGAGCAGACGACAAAAAGCAGACGTTTGAAAGAGCAGACGAAAGTTCGAACGATCAGGCGGCCGTGTGATTTTGAAGACGCACTGAACCCGTGCGTGGTTCGGACAACTTGGCGGTTTTCTCTCGTTTATGTTGGAACAAAGCAAATACATCTGGCGACCACAAAGTGTTGTCCGCGCACGCAATCGTAGTTCGACAGCGTCTGGTTTGCCCTTTTCACGGCTACTATTCACGTTCTCGGACGAACGGAGGGGGCAAAAACACGTGAAAACTGATCTTCAAACCTTTCCAGACTCTCTTGGTACCACCGCCACAGACCGGAAGTGCGTCTGGCGCGCCACCACCGCGGTGTGACGTAGGAGAGTTGAGTTGGTGTATACTTTGCTAATTGTCTGCTGCGAAGATAAACATCCCTTCCAAGCACACTGTTGCCTTCACTCACTCGTACACGTGATCACAAACATACACAATCATGGGTGGGTCAATTAAAATATCGCAAACAATGCTAAGTGCCCTATTGAGAGCTTTGCGGTCCGGCCAAGGCCCCAGTATATTTGCTAAAGATAGGGGACGTCCGTCAAGCAGTCGAGGACGAATCTTCATCTTGTGCCTTTTAGAAGGAAAGCATTGGCACTCTAAAATAATGTGATTGACATCTCCAAACAGATAACCATATTCACACGTTGGAGGCTCACGTTGCCGAATTCGGCGCAGAAAGCTGCTCGTAAAAGCCACTTCGATTCGTAGTTGGAGGAAGAGAACATTGCATTTTATTGTTGTTCCGGTAAAAGGTAGTAGTTTAAGTTGAGGTGCAATATCAGAAAGGAGAGCCTCTAGAGCGTTTTCTGTGAAGCATTAGTGTCGGAAGAGTTCCTCTCAGAAGTGCCGTAGAAAAAACTTGGCCACCGCAGATGTGAAGATCGTCAGTCTCATTGCGTCACGAGAATAAGCCACGCAAGCCATGCGATATGCTTCGACGCTTTCAGTAATGTCACAGTGACCCGGGATCCATTGAAGGCGTATTGAATTCCCATACTCCTCTCCGTGAACCATTGTAGCTTAAACTTTGCATAAATATAATCCCAAGGAGGGTTTTAAGGTTGTACTTTTCAGTAGTATTAATGCATTCTTGGTATCTGCCAGTATTACTGTTTTTGACTGATCAAACGTATCAATGAATGTGACGGCTGAAACTATTATGTGCAACTCAGCCGCTGTTGATCACGTATGTTGCAAAAGCATAAAGACTATGCTTGCTCTAAATTTCAGAATGGTGAAAGCAAATGTTGAACTATTCATTGAAGTTGATTCGTCTGTATGAACATGAACAGCATTGTTATAGTATTGTACTACTTATTCCAGGGGCAGTGTTTTCGCAACAGAAGAGGGTGCAGATGCTTTAGATTCAATGCGGAGCGCAAGTTCGTCTGCTTCTTTTGCAGGGGTTGTGGTGACGTCAGAACGCCGAGCTTTCATTTGCTTTGATTAGAAGATAGTGGGTAGGCCTCAAGGCAACTTCCTTCGAGGTACATCTACTATCCTTTAATCAGAGCTAATCAGTTTTCGGCGTTCTGACGTCACCACAACCCTTCAAAAGAACCAGACGAACTTGCGGTCCGCATACCTGAAATATCTGCTCGTACACTCAGCGGCGGTATGGTCCACAGGGGGCACTCTAAGTCATGGCCAATGTACCTAAAGGGGTACGCAAATTGTAATGAAAGTAAAAGGTTGCGAAAGTTATATTCCGTGGACCGACTGAGGATATTTTGACACAATGGACGCCCGCCCTCATATTTGTGGCTAAACGAATGTAATGCCGACACATCTCTTGTGCGCGAAGGGCAAGCGGAGGCCCTCGGTCTCCCGCAAAAACAAGGTCAGAAGAAGTCGCTCGAGGGACACCAAGACATATGTGCAAACTTTATATATTTCATATATTTGTGATCATATGTTTCAAGCCCTTTTTTATGATGAAGATATCCCATGCATGAGTGGCGTTGATTAGGCGATCGCCTGTCGTACAAGGACTGTATGAAGATGTAAGCGACCATCTGTCGACCCACCTCAACTAGCGCCCGCAATAATATATCGAACAACATTGACGACGGCATTAAGTTTTCTTTAAGCAGATCAATATGTTTAGACCATGTAAATGAACAGTCTAGCACGGCACGAAGAGATTTGTGTCATTTCAGTCGTTTCATGTTTTGACTTTGGATGTTGAACATAAATCATTCGAGGAGTTTTCTTCTAAAAAGCAGAACTGCGGATTTTTCGGCTAAAATTTGTATACTCTTTTCGGGAAGGTATGTGTATGTCTCATACAAGCTGAATAGAAATGGAGCTTGTAATATTTCCTAGGAAGAATCCGATCACTATATACAAATGTCACGAGCGTACATCGAAATTTGGAGGGGCGGTGGAGGTCGTTTCGGTAATTCAGCCATGACTACGCTGAATGAGGTTGGACTTAATAGGCTACCGTGTGGGACCCGTGCTGTAGCTCATCTGTTCTTTTGATTCCTTCGCTCGTAACTATAAAAAAATTTCCGGTCCAGCAAGGACGATTTAGTCCAGCGTACAATGCAACCTCGCCCCCTGAATTGAGTGAGTTCATTCAGAACATATGTGTGACTGGCGGTATAAAAGCACGACGAATATCTAGATTCACTGCAATATTCAATTTCTTAAATTTGTGATGGTGTTCAGTGGTCGTAACCAGGTCAAGGATTGAGTCCATTGTGCATGCTAATGGGCGAAATCCAGTCATTTCTTTTGGTAACACGCGATTTGATTCAAACCACTATTGCAAACGTAAGTACACCATTTTTTCCATAAGCTTCCCGACACAGCTGGTAAGACTTACTGGAAGAAATGATTCTAGTGCATCTGAAGTTTCTCATTTGAATAAAGGAACGACCTTAGCCAGTTTTCATGATTCTGACAGTTTCCTTACTTCAAAAGTCATTGAATATCTCAAGAGGGTTTGCCTTTCTTCCAAGACCCAAGATTTGGAAGTGCTTGGTCATATGGTCATGACCAGGAGTTGTGCGCTTACAAATTGTCCTCTTTGCATCATCTTGTTTAGGAATACTAAAATCACATTTCAATTGTGAGTTGTTTAAGTTATTCACTCCGTCAATCCTTTTCTCTGCGGCCTCACGTGATGAGTTGTACACCGAAGAGGACATCACTGCCGTTGTGTAAGTGAAACGCGGAAACTAATGCAACACAGTTATTTCGCAACTACCTCGTGACAGGTCCAAAGCTCAGAAAGGTCTTCGCTGAGTAACTGGCGATTTCAAAGAGCGCACTATATTCGATACCACTTTGACCTAAGTGAAAAAGGTGAAAATGTTGCGCAAAGCGTTCTCCATCGTAATTCAGAAAACTTTCGTAAAGGCCGATTTATTTCAGTTCAGATACGCTGTGCCCCTCTGTAGTGATCTGCTCTTTCTGATCTCCGATATCGTCTTTGAGTTATCCGGCGGATAGCTCGAAGCTCCTCGTATTCACCATTTACAACAGCACAACCTCTCGGAACACGCACCTTTTAGTGGCGGAATACACAGAAAGGATAAAACACATGAAGGACGAACACAGACGCACACAGACGAAAGACGCTCTCTCTCTATTTCAATTCTTTGAAGCTCACGGTTCGTAGTGTCATGGGCATTTCATAAATGTTCGTTGCTCATTGAAAGAACTGTGTGCGTCTGTGTTCGTCCTTCGTGTGTTTTATCCTTTCTGTGTATTCTGTAGTTTTCAACGCGCTCTGCTACGTGTACTTTTAGTGGCCTTGGTGAGATTTGTGCTCCTTTCGAATTCTTCAACTTTCCGGGTCTCTTCTAGTTGTCTCGTGTTCAGAAAACGAAACATCTTCCATATTGTATAGGGTAGTCGGTGGTATGGTTGCTGCGATGTTAGCCGGGGATGATGAATGTGTATTGGGTGGTGGTCAATGCAACGTGCGTCTATATATGTGCCCCAGTTCATGTAATGAGAGACGTCTGGAGAACACAGTGTCATCTAAAGGCAACTGAGATAGCTGACACATTTTAGGTACGTTGGTAAGCCATCATTGAGGATACCTATGTCGTAGTGATCAAGATTTTAATTCCGGTTTTGTCACAATAAAAACTACCCCAACATGTATATTGGGTGTTAAAATCCTCACAAACTACATATGAAACAGTAAGTCGTCTGAACAACACATTAAATTCAGCATTTGGGATTGAAATCTGTGGCTTTGTGTAAATGCGCACAATAGTAAGTGCCATCCCTTCTATGTGTACTTGCCAAGCAACGTACTCTGGTACATTTGAAGTTGAGGAAAAAAGAAGTGTTGAAAATAAATTTTTGCGCATTCCAAGTAGACACGGACTTAGACCTTCTAGTGGTTGTTGGGACCGAGTTCTCTAGCCAGGATCACGGAGGACCACGGCAGGGCAGGAACCAAAGTTCGACTCCAGGCAGGAACAACAGGAGACGGGAGGGTCTCTCATGATAAAATCTGTTTAATACATCTGTTTTTAATACATCTATTTCCTTCGAGCAACGGCGGTGGCGCCGGCTGCGGCAGCTGTTCTCGTAACATCCCGTCAAATATGACGAGAAGCCGCGAGAGTTTCCACCTCGCCTGTCTCTCCCGTGCGCTGCTGCTCCCGGAAGTCGTGACGTAGGCAGCGGCGCGCTGCACAAGAATGTCACTTCCGGTCAGCGAAACGCCACATTCAGCGGCAGAAATAGGTCTTGGACTTATGGTACGTTTACACTTGCGGATCCGCTAGCGAATCCGCCCAGCTTTTGCCACTGGGGCGAAACGCTGGGCGGAAAACGCGGCGGCGAGCCGTTTTGGTCCAGGACCTATTTTTGTCGCCGAACGAGGCGTTTCGCTGTCCGGAAGTGACACATCTTGCGCGGCGCGACGCTGCCTACGTCACGAGTACGCGTTCTTCCGGGAGCAGCAACGCCCGGGAGAGAGACCAGAGGCGGGAACTCTCGCGCCTTCCCGTCATATTTGACGAGATGTTACGGGAACCGCTGCCGCAGCCGGCGCTGCCGCCACTGCTCGAAGGAAATAGATGTAAACACAACCCGCTCGTCGCCGCCACCGCCGGGAGCGCGGATTTTTTTTTTTCAGGTCTAAACGTACCATTAGACGGCTCGCCGCCGCATTTTCCGCTTTGCGTTTCGCCCTAGCGGCAAGATCTGGGGCGGATTCACTAACTGATCCTCAAGTGTAAATATACCATAAGAGACCTATACGGAAAAAAATGCAATACAAAAAAAACAAACAAAAAAAAACAAGCGTCAACGCCAGGGGGAAAGGGGGGGGGGGGCGGTGGCGCCTTCCACGGACGCGCAGGCGACGGGCTTAACTTTCACTGGGGTTACATGAGAGCGAAACAAGAAACCAAGTACCAAGCGAAAGAAACGAAGGGAGCGGCAAAGAAAGAAACCGCCATGCACAGCTTCTCATCGTCCTTCTTGTCTTACGTTTTTTTGTTGTTGTTGTTGTGACGGCATGGAGAATGCACGCGTGCAAAGACTGAAATCTGAGAGCGAAAGCGACTCATAACTCGCAGAGCTCTGATAACTCGTTGACTCGCGCGCCACCGAAAGATGATCACTTATTGTTTTGTTATAGTTGAAGGAGCGTTGTTTAGCGGGCAGCCAACCCTGCTGCCTTCCACGTTCATTCGCGCGCACTCCTTTGAAGTGCTAAATGTGGGCTTGCTTCG